GTGGTGATGGCTTTTAGTATTGGAAGACAAAAGAATAGCCAGCAGTTGGAGGTGAAGCCAACAGATACAGCAGGAGAGGAATTTAGTTCTACTTTCACTCCAGCAACTCTGGGGTCTTCTAGCCTCAGATGCTGCTGCTTTTACTTGATTGTCACTGTCTTTTTCCATTTAAGTCTAAAATTGCCCATGGCTGATTATAGTTGACATGTATCATTGTGGAGATTAGTTATAACGCTTCACAATCTTGTCCACCCAGAAAGACAGTAACAACATTTTCCTGTCTTTTACCCTCAGTGTAAGTTTGGGCTGGTTGCTGGGCACTAGGGGCATCCGAGGTGACAACCAAAGAGTCTGTGACTTTGCACTTTTGATGTAAATGTTTTGAGTTCCTGGAGTGCTGCAGGGCACCCTTGAAGCTTACAGATCAGACCCCGAAGTCCCTGCTCCCTCAGAGTTAAGAAAGGATGAAAAACCAAACAAACTTGTGGAGGTAACAGGGCTTAGTGCAGGATCATCCAGCAGGTCAATGCTTGCACTGGGAGTGAAATCTGAGGTATTCTAGATCAAAGTCTTCTCTACCTAATCTCACTGCCATGCTCAAGACATAGATGGAGACATGCAGTTGTCTGGGTAATGTGCTGCTTTAAACTCCACAATAATGGAGAAGGTCTGGTTGTCAGGCACCTTCTGCATTCTCTGGAGTGAATTGCTCTACACTGCCTGTTTATCTTTGATCATGAAAAGTGAAATGTACTGATCTTGGGCTGCTGGAGGGAAGTGCTGCAAGGTGGTGTCAAGATGTCTGTTTTCCAGACAAGCAGGCTATGTCCCATCCTGCTCCACCAGCTGCATAAGACTGCTGCTCCTGTCTTCTATTGCATTCACAAAAGACTGTACACCATGCACTTGTCATTTCCATATCAGTACTGACAAATGTACTTTCTGGTGTGTGTGTCTAGAAAAACTAGTGCTCTGGTTTGTTGGAGGCTTGGTTTTGCTCAGAAAAATCCTGCCTCTGGGCATAATAGGAATATACATGGTTTCTAAGGGTAAGTCACTGTCCGTCTAACATTCCTCATGACTTTTTCTTTCTTGGAAAGATTAAGTGGAACACAGTAAGTTTCTGACCTGTCTGCACTGCAAACATTTAAGTCACTTTCCAGGTAGAAGGTATGCTAATTCTTTTCTCCATTGAGGTAGGACCTTTAGTACCTCTATCAGTAGAGAAATACAGAGTATACAGTATATGTCATCCCTACTACAGTACTAGGAATACCTCTGGGACAGTAATTACCTTGTATTCCTCTATGATGAGTTGTATTACAAATGCATAATTAGCTGTTGCCAAACAGAAGTGAATGCTTCATATTAATTTGGAACTTTGGGTGGATGGGATTTCTTCTGGAAAATATCACAAGGGAACATATGAAGGATATCCTGAACCTCAGAGAATTTCTGACTATTTAGAAAACAATTGAGTTCTTTTTTTATTTATGAATTATGAAACCTAATTTTTAATTCCTTGGTTTGGAGCTTCTTGCTGGACACCTTTTTTTTCCCCACTTGGATTATTGCCAAAATATAGTATAAACAAGTTAGCACTTTGTTCTTCAAAAGCTTTAATCTCACCCCTTTTGCCATACCAAATAGCAAAGAATACAGAAACCAGAGCTGTATGTTCTTAAGTTTAAAGCTTAAATTAATTTAGTCTCCTTGACATTTTTTTAGTCTTGAAGCAAGTAGACTGCTTTTAAAATATTACATTACACATTTAATTCTAACAATGTTATCTGGATGTCATCCAGAGTGACCTGGACAAGCTTAAGAGTGGGAATCTCATACAGTTTAACAACGCCAAGTTCAAGGTGATACATCTGGGTTGGAGCAACCCCCAGTATCAATACAGGCTGGGGGATGAATAGGTCGAGAGCAACCCTGACGAGCACTTGGGGTGCTGGTGGGTGAGCAGCTGGACATGACCCAGCAATGTGCACTTGCAGCCCAGCAAGCCATTCTTGTCCTGGGCTGCATCAAAAGCAGCATGGGCAGCAGGTCAAGGGTGATTCTGTCCCTCTCCTCTGCTCTGTTGAGACCTCACCTGGAGTGCTGTGTGCAGGTCTGGGGCCCCCAGCACAGAAAAGACATCAGCGTGTTGGAGCAAGTCCAGAAGAGGGCCAGCAAGTTGATCAGAGGATGGAGCACTTCTCCTGTGAGGAAAGACTGGGAAAATTGGGTTTGTTCATCCTGGAAAAGAGAAGGATTTGGGTTGACCTAATTGCAGCCTTCTGGTACCTGAAGGGTACAGGATACAGTACAGGACAAGGGGGACTAGATGCAGACTAAAAGAGAAAGGTTTTATATTAGAATTAGGAGGAAGTTCTTTGCTGTGAGGGTAGTGAAACACTGGAACAGGTTGTCCAGAGAAGTTGTGGGTGGCCCATCCCTGGAAGCATTCAATGCCAGTCTGGATGGAGCTCTGAGCAAACTGGTCAAGTGAAAGGTGTCCCTGCCCATGGGAGGGGTGTAGGAACTAGATGGTCTTTAAGGACCCTTCCACAAACCATTCTGTGATTCAATGATTTTATGATCTTTTTCATTCCATTTATATTCTATTTGGAGTGCAGGGGTTTTGGCAAAGTGTGATGTTGATTAGATACGTATTTATAAGGAGGCGAATTCATCACCATGGCCAGGCTTCGCAAACAAAGATTTGAGAAGGGCTCTACCCACGCTTGCTGCAAGTGCACTGATGGCTAAAAAGACCAATGTGAGACAGACAAATCCAGTTGTAAAAGGCACAGTGAAAAGTCTCCTTAGGTGGTATCAGCAAGACACGGTTCTTTCTGTGTTGTCTTTTGTCCTCAAGAATGATTCTACCTGTGTTCTCAAAAGAAGCAGCAGTGTTATAAATAGTGTGTCTCCATGTCTCCCAGTTGGAGGCCAGAGTAGATCAATGATGATGGTCAATACGGCCAAGGCTGTAAAATGTGTGCATAATCTCCAGAGACTTTTCAAATGGAAAGATCTGGAATTATTGATAAATGATATATTTGCTTTGGAAAAGCCTCTTTATTGTTAGCTGTAGTGCAATGTCATCTAGCTCAGTGCCTTACACATTAAAAATGAAGTACAACTATTATTTAGATTCTTGTGTCAAAACCTCCCCAAATTATTGAATGTATACTGTGCTCTTTGGTCAGGATAAATTTTTAACTGAAAAACTCCCTCAAATAAATATTTATTTATTTGAACAAAGTGTGGATCAGTTTTATCAATGGTGGCTGTTGATACAGAATTAAATCCAGGTCACACTCAGAATCTAGTGCTAAATCACTGAAATTCCAGTAATGATAAGTTGTTATGAACTATTCCTGTATTTTTTTGTTTAAGCTAATTAAGCCTGTCTGTACCCTAGCGTATCCATTTTGTATGTAAGCATTTACAGATATGATAGAACTTTTGCGCACATTTACAAGCTTATGTCATAAAGGTCTTGCATTTTCTCTTGCATAAAGATTTAGACTTGTAAAATCAAGGCATAAGTTTGAGTATATTCAGTTTTGTTCTGTCAAAAGATAGAGAAAGTTTGCATTAATATTTATCTCATTTGAGATTAGGTTTAGTGATGTTAAATCAGTATGAATAAGACCCTTGCATTTTATTTTATGCTGTGCTTTATTTTAATTTTTTTAATGTACTGAAGACAAAAAATTGACCACCATCCTGAGCCTTATCAATATAAATCCATGTATAAATATATAAAAAACTTCTTTTTGTCTGAGTACTATTAGTTGTACCAAACTCTTGGAATGTTGGAAGGAAGTCCAGGTCCTGGCTCTAATGTACTCTTTGTAAATTAATTAACTGGCATATTTTGCTGTTCAATTAGAGTTTTAAGAGCTGACTCCATTAGTTAGGTTTAGAAAATGTCAAATTAGAAAAGTAGTGTGAAGGCCTTTGTCAGGGAACATGGCTTTGTGCTTTTTGGGCAGTTCATAATACAGGTATTTTACAGAAAGCCCAGGGAATGCGATTTGCGTTCCTTGGAAATAAAGCTGGTATTTAGCTTTTTCAAGGCATGAAGGCTTGGTTGGATTGTCAAAGACAGTGTAGAACTTTGCATGGCAACATTGTTCTAACACCAATCTAAATTGGAACTTAGGTGCTTGTCCATGTGAGAGAAGCATTTCAGCTTTACCTAGGACAAAAGATCAGTGTAGACCATGAACTTCTACCTGGATTGTATTCTGAAACTCTCTTGGAATGCTATGCATTGAGAAAGGTATATCAGAAAAAGTAAGATTAGCAAGAAAGTATGTTAAATATCTGGTGTCTGTGTTAATGTCTGCCTGCAATTTGCCTAGCTGATAAATATTCAGAGTAATTTCTCTCTATTTCATTATTTATGCCACGTGAGGCTAAAGGATACTGGAAACAGGGAGAATCTGGGTGTTCCCACCAGACCTCCTTTTTTCTCCTTTCATCAGAGGCTGCAGGGCTAAACTTTTCACATTGTGTGGTGTTTGAAACTACCACATCTAGATATTATTAAACGTGTTGCCCGTGGAAATTTTATCAGTGGATTCTGAGCCCTTCCAATATCTGTTGAGAAGGGCAGTGACCTTGATGGGAGACTGTATATCAACTATCAGGCTCTCAGTGATTCACTCAGTACACTGAGTACAGGCTCAGGCCTACAAACAGGTGGAACACCTATGGGAATAACTCTTTTGTGCTTGTTCTCACTGATTCCAGGAACTGCACTTGAACATAAATCTAATTATCTGTTTTAATAGATATGTTAATTGCAGCAACTAAAAATAAATTAATCAGGTTAAATTTAAATATAAATTAAATCAATTGTCAAAGCCTGGCAGCAGGATTTCCTGCTAATTAATGCAGTTGTTTATTTCTGCCACGTTCCTATTTTCTTTTTCTTCCAAACTCTGATTTCAGGTGTGATTGTCCTTAAAATGTTCTTTCCTTCTCCATTTGTACAGATTATTCTGAGATCTTTGAATAATAAGACATGTTCTGTAAAGAGAACTGCTAGAATGGAAGATATGCAACATATGCTGCAGTCAAGAACTTCACTCTTGTGACAGATGCTGTTCCCACCTCAGAAACCTACATGATCAGTCCATCAAAAGTAAGTTTATTAGGACAAACACATTCCATGTACTATTTTATCTTACTTTCTGAAGGAAAAATTAAGTTTGCTGTCTGCTAGAGGACTTCTTCCCACCCTGTTAGACACCAGATCAATTATTATTGGATCAGAACCAACTTATAGGGAATGTGTGTATGTGTGTGTATGTGTAGAGGGAGGGTGGCATCATATCCCTCATGGAAGCCCCTGGAGCCCACATGGGAAAGCCCCGGAGTAGATGTCAGTCACAAACAGCCCAGGAAAACTATAACACACCACAGTTCCTGGAGCCCCTAAACCAGGCTCAGATTGGCAGGGACAATGGAACCCTGAGGGTGGCTGGTGGGTCAGAGACCCCTCCTGGAGGGATTGGCCATAGGGACCAGAGCAGATAAAACCAAGAGCATGTGTTTGCCTCGTGTTGTGGCCCTGTGGTGGTCCAATGACTTGTGAGAGCTGGTCTTCTACAAGGCTTTGGTGGTAGCTATATAATCTGTCTCTCCCTCTTTCTCCTTCTCTCTTCTTGGTCCCTCTGCTTCTCTTTCCTGAGGCTTAGGGTGATATGGAGCTGGAGGGATTGAATCTTGATTTAAGTATTGTGGAACTGTTTGGATTTTGCTTTAAAGTGTTGTGGATGTATTGGATGTTGATTTAAGTGTTGCTTGTTTACTGGATTTTGACTTAAGCGTTGTGGATTAATAGTATATGTTGAATCAGTATTGTGGTGGAGTATTTTGTCTAGCTTGTGCGGTGTTCTTTTGAACTTTGGCCAAGTCTCCTTATTTACTCCACTAAATTAATCAAGAAATTCCTTGGGTATAAGCCTGTGGCTTATTTTCTTGACACTGCCACTAGGTATTAAAGCACCCTATATCTATATATTAAAGTGAAATTCATAGCCAATCTTGTGAGCTGGCAACTCCCAGGGCTCGGAGCTTTACTCACCCATTGCCCAGAAAGTAATGTCAAGTTTTAAGCACTCCAGACAAAAGGTCGAAGATCTGAAAGATAGTTAAATTTCTACAAGTTTCATGAAAATTAGTGGCTTTGTAGAAGAAAGAGACCCTGACAGTTTTATCCTCAGGAAAAATAGCCAAGTAGTGTATTTGTTCTCATGGGCCTGTTGCTTCACTATTCAACACACACGTGTGGCCAGTTAGCATAGGTGTCTAGTTTCAAATTGCATCAATGCAACCTCATATCACTTTGCAGCTAGGGAAAGGAAGCATGGGGTATGAAGGGAAGGTGGCAATGGACTGGGAAGAAGCATGGGATATGCTGGAGATACTGCTTTCTTGGCTAGGGAGTAGGACTAATGGTTACTGAAGCAAGAGCACAGTGAATAGGAAGGGGAACCGACATCATTAACTCTATTACATGGCATTTTTACTTCCAGAGTGTGGAACTTAAAGACACAAATCCACAGAGAAAGGTGGCAATCATTCTACTTGTCTTGGAAAAACTTGTTACCTTTGACAGCTTACTATCTCTTTGTTTCATGACTGAACAGAGCACTTCCATGTGCATCCATTCAAGCTGACCTAGCCATTAGAGTCTCCATGAATCTGCTTAAAGAGATTGTAATCAGGAGTATTCTTCCTTCTCTATCCTAGTTCCAGTTTTGGCTTTTTTGCTGTGAAAGGTGACAGCTTTCCTGCTAGTATAGTTAGCAAGAATTTAAGTTCACCACATGCAAACTTTAGTTTGAAACAGAATCACATGAAATTTTAACTCTAGCCTCAATATGCAAGATGGGGCACAATAAGTGGAGCAGGACACTGCTTACATTTTTCTCGTTCACGTCTTGTGGCACAAGGAACAGCCCTAAAAAAAGTGGTGATGACTCCACAGACCCTCTGGTTTGAATTGTGAAGCAATTGTTTCACTTCCAACTTCTCTGTAATCTTCCACATATTCTGTAGATGTTTGATATTAGTCCTCAAATGTCACTAGCCATTGGAGAGGTTGATGTCAGATGTGATGCTATGCACCTTGAGGGACAAAAGTTCCCTGTTAAATATTAGGATATTTCTGAAATTGTTGGATATTCTGTAATGGGAGTATTGTCTGGTAGCTGCTGTGATTTTCTCTGCTGAGCACACCAGAGGAGTCACAAAGGTGTCTGAATATCTCTGAAAAAATACCACAGAAAACATTGACTAAATGATATTTGTGGCTAATAGACAGAGGAGGAATTCCCATTTTGTTCCAGAGTAACAAATTCAAATAAAATTTTACTCGGCTTGCTAAAATTAAAATAGTGAAAGAGGTAAATAAAAATCTTGAATATGCTTAAGGATCTTTTGTTGTTTTATTTTGTATCAAGAGCCTGTTTAATCTGCTCTCCTGAGTACAGCAGCCTTTTTCTCTCTTGGCTCATCTTTCTCCAATATAAATAATATATTGGGCACATGGAGGTATAAGCATATAAAAAATTTTCCATTTCATGTGGGCAGCAGTGAAGCTTGTATGCATTTCAATTGATCCATTTAAAAATTTTATGAACATATTTCTGCTATGCAGGAATAAAACAATTTTCTTTTGCTTTCTGTAACTTCACCCAAAGAAACAATAAGAAAGCACAGTTTCTGTTCAACCTATTTAATTCTGATCATGCCTAAAAAATAATAACAGCAGTCCTAACTGCGAATAGTCCTTATATCAGATACACAAACAATCAAAAAATGAGTCTCCTCCTTCATTGCACTTGGTTTGTGTCCAGTAAGAGAGTGATTGAGGGAGTTTGAGCATATTAATGTTTTATATCAATCCATTTAGATTAAATTTCTGAGACAATTGTGGGCAACACTGGTAAAAAATAATGGTTAATTTAATTTGACCTTTTTAAAATGCAAGCATTATAAGTATCTGCCTTATGTTGCTTAAGTTGCTTGATTTAATAAATCTAGTTTGCTTTCTTTTATTTATTTTATTGCTTATTGTGTATTTTCAGAGTTTTTTCCATCCACTTCCCTAATGTAATAAAATTAGAAAGGAAGCCAGATGACAGTCAGATGGCAAGGCAGCTCTGACACTAATGAAAATGAGTAGGCTTGGGTATTACTTAACTGTCATAAAACAAGTGTCTTCACATTCTTTCATAGGTTTTCACAGATCACATTTCTTCCCACTGCACGGTGCTCTTGGCCTCTTCCTCGTGAGAATGTCCTCTCCCTTTGCAACTACAACAACCATGGAGAATTAAATACAGGAATATAATCAAGTATTTTCTCACAGTTTTTTAAATGAAAGATAAACATTTATACACTGACTTTAATTGCACCCACAGCCTTGACAGCCCCACTCTCTAATTCCTAGCAGAGTGACCACTACCTATCTCAATAACCTGGCTGACAATTATCTATATTTTGCAGCTGATCCTCACAATTCACTGTAGTGAAACCAAAAGGTAAACTCTGGAAGCATTATATATATTAAAGCAACTTGCTCCTGTGTGTCTGGAACCATTCTCTCTTCAGGGAGCATCTCTCCCCACAGCCAACACATGCTCAAGTGCATTCACCTCAGGAGGGAATCACTGCCTCAGGAGCAGGAGCTCTGGGTTGCAGAGCTGCTGCCTTCCTGTCACCAGCTGGGACCCCACTGTCAGGGTCTCTCCCTCCCTTGAGACATAAAGCTCTGCAACCATGGTGCAAGGCAGGTAAGAAATAGAATAGCAATAAAATAACATTTTTCAAAGTACTACAGGTGCCCAAACAATGCTCTTATGCAGCTGAGGTGGTCCTAAAAAAAGCTTTGTGAAGAGCTATGGTTAGAAACTGCACCGGAGGCCTCCACAGCTCCTCAGGACTTTGCCATGGGTATTGGCTTTGCCAACCTGTGGATCTGCACCTACTCCATGAAATGAACAGTGTTAACACCTTTGTGAAAGTAATTTTTTTGTAGAATTGCTAAGTCGGTTAACCACAATGACAGAGATCTATGAGGAGATGAGTGATTCAAATGTTGTTCAGAGGTAGCACACCATGGGATAAAAAAGCAATAGTAGCCTGCAAGAAGGAAACTTTTTTATTTAAAAGAAATTAAAAACCACCTGAAAGGAAAAAGTTAAGAAATTAAATCCCTGGACTCAGCATGGAGGCCGATAAAGAACACCCTATTAGTGTCACAGAGCGGACAATGTGCACACCCCAGAAAATAAAAGGAAAAAAAAACCCAGAGGAAAGTGAGAGCCTCAATAATGTGTTGAAGAAATAAGATACAATATTTTGTTGAAACGAAATTCTATCCTTTAGAAGCGCACTTGGAATTGAAACAATTCTAATGAAATGGAAGGGACTTTGGGGGATAAAAGAAGCAAAGCAGAAACCTGAAAAGTAATATTCAAAGATAAAAAGACAAGGAAGGACTGATTTTAAGATAAGAAGTAATCTCACTGTAGGAAAAACATTGCATCTGTTAGACCACTGGAGTAGAGAGAAGGCAGCTGAAACCCTGACAACCTGCAGAGTAGTGTATGAGTGTTTCTTTACAGGCTGAGAGGGTCCTGCCCTCCCTGAGCCCAGGAGGGGTTGTGGCATTTCACATGGGCACTGACATTACAGATTGCAAGATGTGGATTCTTTCTGGGGAATAAATTTTTAAGCCAGATAAGCTTTATTTTGGGGTTGCCATCTTTGGGATATCAAACACCAAGATGAATAGGTAACAATGAATTTTTGTCATATAGTATATATGGACTGATCAATGGAGGGGCAGATAGGACTGATTATTTTAACCTATCACTCACATCATCAGCTTCAGCTTAGAGATCTCTTTTTGTTGCCTTCTCTCTGTTCTGGAAAGCTCTTCCGTTTTCTGACCCTGATCAGTACAACCTGCAACAACAGTTAGGTTGAAGCTTTTTTTCCCCCTGTATCTTCATGTTCCCTAGTGTAAGCAGTCTCTATTCTTGTGTTTTAAAATCTCAGTGTCATTTTCATTTGCACTAAATAGTGTCAACGTTTTGCCATTTTGCCTTAAGTTCCCTTAGACACATG